CCCCCCCACCTTCCCGCCCAGTTTGAGCTGGCCTCCCAGGCTCCTTCAGAAAGGGTGGGGTCCGATACCTCCACCTCCCAACTACCACTTACCACCCCCCACCCTGAACAAGCCAATAGCTGCTCAACTGTTTCCGAGAAGCAAACCTCGCCTCAGCAAGAAGACAGAGTGGCCTGGGCTGCTCAGCCCTGCATGTCACCCCGAGGCTCCCAGAACAAGAGTGGAATGTCCCCTAGGCACCTGAGCCAGGAATCTGGAGAGGACACAGTGTTCCGGGGGGCTCCCACTCCCCACACTCACCTATGCGGGAGATGTGCGGCCCCAGCCTGCTCCTGCCTGACACGCCCCCCAGCGGGCAGCAGGTGTTCAGAGAGATGAGACCAGCTAAATGGGAGGGAGGACATTGGAATCACATGGGGCTCAGCCAGCATTGCTGCTTGGGCCCTGCCCAGAGGAGGGCTTCATTGTTCTCCGAGTGGAATCCAACTCCCAGGTGTGTCTCCTCTGTGCCCCTTTGGTCTCTGCAAGTGTGCCGCTTCTCTGGCTTCTTAGGAGTCCTGGTGGCACAGTGGATTAAGCAGTGGGATACTAACCACAAGGTCAGCAGTTCAAACACACCTGACCCACTCCTTGGGAATAAGATGAGGCTTTCTGGGAGCCCAAGATACACGTGTGGGAACTCCATAGGAAATAAGCCTCTGGTGATCCCCCTGTGTCCATAACCGAGGGACGGGAGGAGAGTGGTCACTAAACTGAGTGCATTGGAGAGACAGAGTATAGAAGATCAAAGGCACACATCTGACCTGAAGAGTTAAAACCTTGTTAGTAAATTCCTCCCTCTGAAAACCTGATCTGGTTTTCAACATTTTCGGTATTTTTTTGTTTTCTTTTTTGATTGTTCGTATTAGGGTTTATCTCAGATATATTATGTCATTGAGGACCATCCTCTTGAAGTCATATTATATGCTCTTCTGTTTTTCAGCATATAAAACCCAGGACTGATGACCCTATAAGAACAGCAAGTGGAATAAGGGTTGGGGGAGGCAGGTACAGTGTGTGTGTGTGTGTGGGGGGGGGGGAGACGATGTCAAGGAGTCCAGGAGAGAAAAGAATGTGGCAGCACTTGTACAATACTGCCTGGTGTGACTGAACTATGGAATGATCTATGGATTAACTCCAAATGGAAAAAAAAGATGAGGCTTCCTACTCCCGTGAAGAGTTACAGTCTCGGCACTCACAGGGGCAGTCGACCTGCCCCATGAGGTCCCTATGGACTCAGTGGCAGTGGGTTTGGTTGTTTGGTTTTACTCACCTGTAACAAGCAATTTCATGTGCTGCTGACCCTGCCAAAACCCAGGTGCGACTGTTTACTACCGATTAGTTAGCACAGGAA